AAGCATGAAAGTCTTCAAATATTTGCCCACGATGTCCCTTATACCATTCCCTTGCTCTTTGTCATTGTTGTCATGGTGATGTTATGAGGTCAGACTCCTTGCTAATCACCTCTGGTTTCACTATGGTACAGCCTTTTGCTGAAAGCACTCTGGGGTTTTGCGTTATCTCAGGCAATTTCTGAGTAGTGGTGTGTTGGTAAATATTTAACAACTGGCTCTCAGAAATAAAATCACCTTGATTTGTAGAGTGTGCTGATTTCTGTGGTGTAAATACTCCTACCATGACTGATGCCAGCTATCAAAGTGACCTCATGTATGTGGAGCTGGACAGAGATATCTACAGTCGACGTGAGCATGCTGGTGGACGCTGGCTGTACCCACCGCTGGTTCTGTGGACCCAGGCCAGGTTGCTTAACCTTACCGTTACTGACATTTTGGGCTGGATAATTCTTGGCTGTCAATGGCTGTCCCGTGCATTGTAGGATGTTTAGCAGCATCTCTAGCTTCAACTCACTAGATGCCAGGAGAACCCCTCTCCCCCTGGTTGTGACAACCAAAAATGTCATGAATTTTGAATTGATCAAACCTTGTTACTTTTTAATGATGAAGCCATCTGCACAACAACTAATGATTTTTTTTTCCCAAAGTGGAAATGGTAGGAGCAACACCTTTCAGTTCTAAGGGCAGGTCCTATTAACCTTCATAAGCCCTGAGAACTAGAGGGGCAAAATTGAGGAGAAAAATAAAGAACAGGTTTCAGAGTATTTGCCTCTGAGCCCACATCTCAGTCTTCCGAAGCTTAGCACTGCTCTCTCATACTGTTGCACATGCTCCAAGAACAGTATCAAGAGGCGTCAAGACATGAATGGTGTTGGTCATTGGAAACAGCAAATTCCACATAGCTCTCTTGCAAGACTATTCTTTCAGAAGATTCATTTACACCAACTACTTGTCTTTGTCAGATGATCCTTCCTGACTCTGAAACACAGATGTAAAAAGTGAAGAGAGGATGCCATTGAATTTCATGTCTAAAAGTGGAAAATACACAATTTACTAAGGGATGTTTAAAATATTAGTATATTATTCCCCATGTGTATCCATAGCTTTATGTAGAAATAGATCTAAAGAGTAGTGTATACACATAATTACTCCTTATTGTAAGATGGTTCAGACTGATGGGCTATATCAGGCAGGGTTTTGGGGGATAGTTGGACTCATGGGACGGTGTTGGGTCCTCAGTTTTGTAGGCTGAGTGCCTTGATTTAGTCCACTTACTCAGGGGTGCTCAGGATCCATTCACGCCATCTACACTCACAAGCCTACTTTATTCATCAGAATGACTCACTGAACTGTGAGCCTTTAAGAAAAGGACCCATATCTTATTTTGTATCCCCAGTTTCTAACACATGCCAGACATGTAATAGGTTCTTTTCTGAAAAATATTTTATGGCTTTATTGAGGTATAAGTGACATAGAATTAACTGCATGTGTTTAAAGTTTTTCACATGATGAGTTTTTATAGCTGTTTACACCCATTAAGCCATCACCATAATCAAAATAATATAGGCATCCATCAGCCCACGTTACCTGTGTACCTCTGCAGGCTTTCCCTCCTTCCTCCCACTGTTCCCAGAAAACACTGTTTGGCTTTCCGGCACTATAGATTAGTTTGCATTTTCTAGAATTTTGAATAAATGGACTTATACAACATTGCAATGGCTTGAATGTCTCCTCCAAAACCCATGTTAAAGTTTAATCCCCAAAGTGGCAGTGTTGGGAGATGGGGCCTTTAGAGGGTCATTGGATTGTGAGGGCTCTGCCCTGAAGATGGATCAATTCATTCATGGGTTAATTAAGTAATGGATTATCACGGGAGTGGAATTTGTGGCTTTATATGAAGAGAAAGGGAAACTTGAGCTAGCATATGAACACATTCTTGCCTTGTCATCATGTGACGCCTTGCACCACCTCAGGACTCTGCAGAGAGTCCCCACCAGGACGAATGCCCTTGCCAGAAGCACCTCCTTGACCTTGGACTTCCCAGCCTCCAAAAGTGTAAGAAATAAATTCCATTTCTTTATAAACTACTCAGTTTCAGATAATCTGTTATGAGCAACACAAAACAGGCTAAGACAAACATGTACTCCAGTTTTTGGTCTGGCTGTTTTTACTGAGCATAATTATTTTAATATTCATTGATATAGTTCCATATATTAATAATAGTTTGTTCCTTTTTATTGATGAATAATATTCCATTGTATAAGACATAATAAGTACTTAAGTGTTTTGGCCTTATATTGACTTCAAAACTAATTTTTAAAAATAAAATTGGGGGAAGAGTGAACAATGGGGTACCACTCTATCTGGTTGGGTGGGGTTGCCCAGAAAGTCAAAATAGAAATTAGAAGGTGAGTTGGCATGGTAGAGACTTTGGTTGTCATCCAGTATGTGTTCCCCTTTTTTTACATAGTAATATAATGCCTGATTTTTGGCTGGGCATAAAACTATCTGGAATAAAGAATGCATTTCCCTGTTTTCTGTGCAGTGATGTGGGGCCATGTGACCAAGTGGTTCATAAGAAGTAAGTAAGCAGAAGGGGTATGTGAAACTTCTTAGAAGACTCCTTGGAGGAAATGGGATTACTCTTCTTCTTTCTGCTGGAATGTAGTCATAATGTCTGGAGCTCTAGGATCCGTTTTGGACCAGACGGGGTCTTGAGAGTGAAAACCACTCATGGCAGAGCAATAGAGTAGAACAGGCCTGGGTCCCTGATACTGTGGATCTGGACTAACTACCTCCAGACTCCACGACTGTGAGAGAGAAGTAAACTTTGATCTTGTTCAAACCACCGCTCTTTTGTATCTTTCTGTTTCTTGCAGCCAAAACAATCCTAACTGTTAGGATAGTTAGAACAAGAGGAAGCTTAATATTGCCAAAAAGTCATTTTTACATCGTGCTAATGTGTCCATCTTCACCCTAGAGATGTTTCTGATTAGAAACATGGTATTAGCTATTGGAATCTCTTTTCATGAGTCCAGAAAAACACTGACAAGTTATTGTTAACAATTCTCCTTTTCTCAACCATGCCACTCAATTTTGTCTATTTGTATCCATCTTGACATTTTAGACTTCTCAAAATTATAACTTATTTTAAATTTATTTACTTTTAACTTGGTGGCTCTGTGGTGGGATATGGGGTTTAAAAAATTGACAAAATCATAGTTATGGTGGCTTATTTGGAAATGCTTTCTATAGATCCCTAGTCTTATTGTGTGTGAATTCTTGTTACGTTTAATCCTAGTGATAGTTTAGCTTGTGACTCTCTTTTTTGTTTGAAATATTTTAAACATACAGAAAAGAGTATATGTCCAGATGTCATTTATCTGGCAAACATGACTGTAGAACAGTAGTTGCCAACTTTATTTATTGATTTAGCAGGAACACCCTTTATTCAAAGGGCATCATAGGCAGAACCCCTATATATAAAACATGTATCAGAGCTTCTCTGGTTGAAGCAGAAGTGAAGGGCTTAGAGATTTACTGGATAACTGCTCCTTGCCTACCACCAATCCCACCATGGTGGCCTCTGAAATTTGCTCACATAGCCTGAAAGCCCTATGAAAGCAGCTGAGAACCACAGATTTAGAACATGATCATGATCCAGAAAGTAAGGTAAACACCGCTCTTGGATCAGACAAAATCAGTGACACAATTCCCTAATGTCAAAGCCCATACATTCTATTCAGAGAGGAGCCTCTAAGACTTGCCTTCAGATCTCTGTGCTCTTATTTTAGCCACAGTTCTAAGGAGCTTTGTAATATGGTTTCCCAGTCATGGAAGAATAGAAGAACAACTTAGGGAGGGTAGAGAGTCAGACATAGCCAGACCTGACTGCTAGCAGTGGGACCAATGAGAGAGAGACAAGGATATTTAAAAGAGGGAGGCCAAGGCATTAAAAACCACCTTCTGAGGTCACTTAAGGTAAATGTAGTCCCCTAATATATTACAGTGGTTCATGAAGGCATGATTTTATATATTTGTATATATAGTGTGTGTGCATATAGATGCATGTACATATACATATGCGTGTATGTGTGTGTATTTATATATATTTAGCGAGTGTGGGTGTGTAGTTGCACGTACATATATATACACTTGATACTTTGTTTAGTGTTAATAATGATGACCCCGAGAAGAAAAGCCTCACTTATGTTCTATATTTTGTATTCTATTTTATAGAATAACAATACTACTTATTGAAATGATTTTTATGTGCCAGGTACTGTTCTAAGTGTTTCACATAGCTAACTTATTTAAACTTCACAACTACTTTATGAAGTAGGGACTATCATTCTCCCCAGAGGCACAGAGAAGTTCAGTCCCCTGCCCAACGTCACTCAGCAAGCAAGTGTGCAGCTGGGATTCAAACCCAGGCTCCTGGCTCCAGGGCCCACACTCTTAATATAGTCCATATCTTAGAAGAATTTGCCATATTTAAACAATAAAAGTACAAACATATTGTGGCTAGCGAAAATTTTCAGTTGCCTGGAAAACTCACTTATCCAATAAGTGGAAAACTCACTTGTGCTCTGACAGTCCTGGGTGAATGAAAGAACAAATTCATTTGAGACTGGAATCCAGGGATCCTAATGTATCAAAAGTACTCTCCCCTCTGTGATATGGCCTGTCAGGAGAGGCAGACGAACTTGAGCAGGTCTGAGTAACTAGAAAATATCCCACGTCAGACTGTTGACAATGAAAGTGAAACACTTAGTCCCAAGCCGCCTACAAGATGGTTGCATTTTTGTTTGCAGTATTGTCATCTTCTTGCTGGTGCAAGAGCTATTTTGGAGTTGACATAAAGGCTTCTGTATTTTTTAGAGTCATTTTCTTTCTGGTCTGTGTTTACATATTGTGGTGGAAGAGTCAGAAGACCTCAAGCTTCAGAAGTGAATCCTGTTTCAAGTTATGAAAGTGTCACATGTGGGGTACAGTTCAGCATGTGTCACCTCAGGCACTGGGATTTCCCAGACTTCAACTTTGGTTGCTGTTCTTTGTGCTCAGGGGTTCTGAAATTGCCTTGACTTTTGCTGCTGTTATGTCTGTAGGTGTGAACTGATTCCTGTCATGCAGGAAAGAAACACTATTTCAAGGGAAGCTTTTCATTGTAAAAGGTCCACATGTTCCACAGGAAACCAGAAGGTCATTTTCTCATATGGCTGGAGTGTTAATTTATTATGCATTTTTCTCTCAGTGTTATTTTCCTGATTGTTGCAAGTGGATGAGTCACAGAAACATATCACACACACATACATGTGGTCCATCAAGCAGGCTTTAAGGCAACTATTTTTCTTTTCTTTTTTTTAAAAAAGAAGAAAAGTCAAAATAAAGCAAATAAAAATGCTCAGCGCATTTGCTGAAGTCTTAGCAAAATGAAATTGCTGTAGTTTCTTAATCACACCATACTATTTCAAGCCAATCCTACTTAATCCATATCTCTTCTTTCCCATACTTGCCTGCCTGGTGAACTCCTATTTATCTCACAAAGCCCAATGTTCGTGTTACCACTTTTGTGTTATTTCTAAACATTGAACATACCTCTATTATAGAACATATCTCATGGAATGGTCATTTGTTATACATCCACTGCCTTTGTTAGGCTGAGAGTCTCCTGAAGGTAGGATTCACAACTAATGTATCACCATTACCCCTGCATGTAGAAGGGTGTGGTGGTACATTCTATTTCTATGATGGCTCCCAAGATTCCCAGCCCCTCTATCATACATACCCTATATAATCCCTTCTCTGTATATGTGGGTGGAACCTGTGAATATGATGGCTGTCACACCCTGATTAGGCTACATTATACGGCTAAGACAAAGGGATTCTGCAGATACAATTAAAGTTCGAGATCAGTTGATTGTGAGTTAATCAAAAGGGAGATTGTACTGGGTGGGTCTGTCTTAATCAGGTGAAAGCCCTTGAAAGAGGACTGGATCCTTCCTGAAGGAAGAGATTTCCCTGTTGGCTTTGAAGTAAACAGCTATGTTTTAAGCAGATTCATAGAGGGGCATGTGTGGTAAGGACCTGAGGGTGGCCTCTAGGAGTTGAGAGCAGTTCCCAGCCAATAGCTAGCAAGAAGACGGGGATCTCAGCCACACAGCCACAAGGAAGCAGATTCTGCCAACAATCTGAATGAGCTTGGACTCACTCATTTTTCCCTGGTCAAGCCTCCAGATGGGAACATAGCCAACCAACACCTTTATTGTAACCTATGAGACCCTGAGTGGAGGACCCAGTCAGCTATGCCTGGACTCCTGACCCCTGGAAACTATGAGATGATCAATGTATGTTGTTTTAAGCCACTAAGGTTGTAATTATTTGCTATGAAACCATAGAAAACTAATACAGGAGGCATTTCATAAATGTTTGTTGAATTTAATTTAATCAGGGAAATAGAAAATTTACAATGACTCTTTACTAAAGTTTTGGCCAATTTTAAGAATGTAGACATATTAAAGAATCGTCATCTTCCTTTGGGTTTTCTACCCACGCAGTCTACTTCACACGCTTCCAAGGTTTCCATAAATACCAGCTTCTGATTGTCTGGAAATAGGAAGTGAGATTCTCTCCAGCCATCATCCCATATTCTTGGGAGATAGAATGAATAAAAATTGATGTTGAAATGAGACCACCGTCATTTCTCAGTCTGCTCACCATGTACAGAGCTCAGAATGATTAGAAAATGTAAAACACATGTGAATGGCTCAAACCCCTTTAGTTAAATCACATTTACATAGATCAGTTTTCCCGAGGGACATAAGTTAACTGAACTTAAGCAATTAAAAAAATAAAACAAAACTATAACCTTTTGCAAAAGCCAAAAAACATGAGTGAGTTAAACCATATCAGATGTAGTGGTTTGTTTTGAGAAGTGTTTTGTTTGTAGTCTGTTTGTGTGCATGTTTTTGAAAAGTCAGATAGAAAAGCAGAACTGGCAAGATCTTTAGCTGCTGAGATAGAAAGGAGGTACGGGGCTTTGTTCCACCAAAGCAGCAGTTACCAGCAGGATCACCAATGACCCTGGTCAGAGATTTGCTGCTAGCTCTGCATTACATTCTTGAACCACCTTAGGGACCGTGGCAGATAGAGAGACTGTGAATGTGGCTGAAAACTGGACCCAATCCTGGATTTGGTATTCCATTGAGAGCAAATTTCCAGGGCCTTGAGATAGCACCTCAGGGAGACCCTCCTTGCTGTTCTGCCATGTCGAGAACAAGAACAAACTTTCTGGCCCAGGAGCTGCTTGCCTCCCACTGCCAACATTTTCAATTTCATTTGCCCTTGGCTACACATAGCTTCCTGTTTCTAAGAAAAGAGGCCGAAAGAGCCTTTTGAAGGCCTCACAGACAGTCTCAGAAGGCTTCATGGGCAGCAAACAATTCTTAGCAAACAACAATTTGATGAGTTAAGTGTAAATGAATCGGAGACATATGGATTACATTTTTGGAGAAATGCACATGGGCTTACAATGTAAAGCAGGGCAGTGTGGGGGTGGGCAGGAAAGGGAATGCTTGGAAAAATGTGGTTTGGGTCTTGTCAATTGCAAAATGTTTGAAACAAATAATTTGAGATGTTTTGCCCAACCTAGAACATGGCTGGATTCACCCTTTCCTTCTATTGACATGTCATTTTCATACTTGGTGCACATGCCAATGCTGGTTTGGGTAGATTTTTTAAAAATGCAGTTATTTTGCGAGGCCATTCCATGTGATTTCTGTGTATCCTCTGAGCAGGGTGGGGTGGTGTTGGGGAAGAGCTAGGTGTTTAGAAACATCTCTCTGCCTCTAGATCAAACTGCTCCTAAGCTCTTCTGATATATAAATCCATTTGAAGAGTTTCCGAATCCAGGCTGTGGCAGTCAGATGTGTCAGCTTGAGAAAGTTCCTATATTCAGCCTCCCCACTTGTAAAATGGGAACAATAATACTTTGTCCAGGATCCATGGGATTGGGATGCTGAATAGTGTGGAGTTAGGAGTATGGTCTCTGGAGACATATTTCTGGGATACACATCCCAGCTTTGACACTTGTGTGAGTTTGGGAAAATTCTTTAGCTGGTCTGTGCTTCAATTTCTTCTGTATAATGAGGAAAATGTTAGCACCCACCACACAGCGTTACCTTGAGAATTAAAAAAGTTAATACACATAAAGAACTTAACACAGTGCCAGTCACACAGTAAGTGTTGAGCAAATGCTGACAATTGCTCTTGTTTACAATTTCTCTTGTTCCATAATGTCTTTGGATGTTGTAGAAAAGAAGGCAACTTCACCTGTAGGCTGGGGGAAAGGGCAGCCCCTTACCCAAACTTTGGGGGTCTCCTCCTGCTTACTTTCCTTTTCTTATTGCTTTAGCTTATAGATTAATTCTCTACTTTTGTCACCTCAAATAAAAAGCAGGTAGATTCCTTGGTTGAAAATTAGTCTTATCTTTTCTCCATTCTAGGAAGGATTATTGTCTCTCATCTACTTTACCACCATCTAGTATCCAGCTACACTTAGTTCAAGAACCCAAATAAATTGTACTAGAGTGTGAAGCAACTCTGGGGGCTCAACTGGAAGGAAATCATGATCCCAGAGTTTTGTTGGTTTAATGCATTGCTTCTCAATCCTTCTTGCACATTAGGATGAACTGAAGAGCATTAAAAAAGAAGAAAAGTTTTGAGGGTGGGGCTTGGACATTAGTAAGTTTTAAAGTTCCCCAGTGCTTCTGATGTGCAACCAGGGCTGAGAACCACTCTGGCCCTGGCATCCAGTGGGCATTTCTGACCCTCACCCCTTTTAACACACTGGTCCTTACTTCTGCAGCATGGTAGGACCCTGATTTCTGCCTTCCACGTAGCGGGTGAGCTTTCCTCTGGGGCTCTGCCCTTGAGGTCTGCAGCAGCAAGGCCACTTCCTCTCTGAACCCCAGGCAGGCTTCGGTCAGAACTGCCCCTCAGGCAGTCGGTGCCCCCATCTCTGTTCAGAGAGATTTTATCTGCATCCATCTCTTCTTTGCCTGAGAAATGCCTTCTAGTTGCTGTTTCTCCACCCCTCCTTTCTTGATCAGCACAGTTTTGCTTCTTTCTGTCCTTTTTGCCCACTGACCACTAACTGTCCTCTTTTGCTTTGTCAAAGATAGTTTCAGAGGCTGTGCAGTATGGTAAAAGAATAGGGAATTTGAGGTTGGGCCTGGGTTTAAGTCTCTCCATGGCTGCTGAAAAATTACTTAATCTTTCCTCATTTGTAAAATAGCAATAATCTTACTGAGGTGATACTATTGTTGTGAAGATTAAAGGAGATAAAGCAGGGATGGTGGTTGTGGTGGAGGAGGCAGTGGTGATAGAGGGTGATGGGGTGATGGTGATGACCATGATAGTGGTAATGGTGGGGTTGGTGGTGATGGGGATGATGTGGTGGTAGTGGTGATGGTGGTGGCAGTTGATGGCTGTAGTGATAGTGGTGATGGTGGTGGTGGTGGTTGTGGTAGTGATGGTGGTGATGGCGGTGATGTTGGTTGTGGTAGTGATGGTGGTGATGGTGGTGGTGGTGGTGATGGTGATGGTGACTGTGACTGTGATGGTGGAGGTGGTAGTAATGCTGGTGGTTTGGTGGTGGTGACCATGACATTGGTGGTGGTGGTGATGGTGGTTGTGGTGGTGGTGATGGTGGTGACCATGACATTGATGGTGGTGGTGGTGATAGTTGTGGTGGTGATGGTGGTTTGATGGTGGCAATAGTGGTGGTGACCATGATGGTGGTGGTGGTGGTGGTGGGAGTGGTGGTTTTTCTTCAATTAAGAAAGCAGAAGTCTGGAGGAAGCACCCATGTTCTGTTCAGAAGAACCACATGAGAAGCAAAGACAGAAGGTCTTTGCATTTGCTGAGGCCAGGGCAGTAGCTAGCTGGTTGTATCAGTTAGCGTTTGATCAGGAAAGCAGAGCTACGCTGTATGACCTAGAGTAAAGGATCTGTTGTAGGGATTAGACTTATCCAATATGGAAACTAGTGGAAAAGTCTAGGCAAGGTTGTTTTCTCTGTGTCTGGTGTTGGGCCTGAAGTTTCTACAGGTCAGTAGGGCCTGCAGATTGGACAGAAAGCTGGAGGTGAAGAGGGGGAGCAAGAACTCACAGGAACCTGCACCTGACTCTCATGGCCTCTAACCTTGATAAGACAGGTGACCTGCACAGAAAGGTGGTGTCCCTCATCACTGAGCTGCATGTGTGCCTGGCCCAGGCCTCCAAGGAGCTGGAGGAGATGCAGGAGGTTCTGGAGATGCTGCCGGCCCAGCTACTGCCCCATAACAACAAGGGGGGCAGCAGGTCCGAGACAACATGGGAGAGCTGCCCTGCGCCTGGTGCCCTCATCAGATCTCCTGAGTGTACTGCCGCCGCTTCACTTCTGCCTCACAAATCTCTCACAGATTTCTTTTGTTGCCAGCCTTAATCCAGAGCCATTTGGGGAAGGAACTCTGGGAAATGTAGTTCATGCTTAGTTCTGGTGACACAGCACAAGTCACCACAGCGGGGTCCCCATGTATATTGGATGGATTAAAAGCCTCACTACCTGGCATGGCCGGTGCACTTTACTCACCTCTAACATTTCAAGCTTGGAGAGGCGAGAGTACCTAGAGCTGAGCTGAGGACCATGCCAAAGAACTGGACAGGGGAGCCCTATGCACTCTCAGATCAAGGAACAGCCTAGCCATTCATCTCTTCCCCAGCAGCTGGGGTATTTTGGCATCCCCTGTAACCCCTAACCACCAAGGGAGACCATCTCTTGTGCCTATCCCTGACTTTGGAATTGTGGGCTGGGTAAAGCTGAACACATCTGGCCCTCTTTGGGATCCTGGTGTGCCTCTAGCCTCACTCTGGCGTCTCTTTAAATGGATGTTTTTCTTGGGTGTTGACCCTACTCTCTGTTTCTAACATCTGTTCCTGTTAAATCCTCTTGCAGGACATAATAGGTCTCTTTGGTGGCCAACACACTGAGACCACGGTGCTTCCCCTACCTAGTGAGTTACATCCTTGTGAAAGTTTCTACCCTCTTCCTGTTCTCTGACTTGTAAATGATTAGAAATATGATTCTATTTTAATTCTTCCATTTGAAAATGTTCGTTGTCAAAGATGCATTTAGAATTTAGCTCCACCATGTTCTCTCCCATTTGTCTGTCCCTGCTCTGACTGGCATCACATCATGGATGGGTGGCAGGAATGGAAGTAGTTGCTTCTGAGTTTTGTACTGTGAAATAAATAGTTGGAGACTCAGTAGTCAGAATTGTATTCTTTACTCCCTCTTTTTCTTTCTTTATTATGCTACCTGGTTTGTGAACATTTTCTCCAGCTGCAAACAATTTACACAAATTGTAAACTATGTAACTGTTATAATCCCTGTAACTATGACTAGAGACTGAAAAATGACCAGTTGTCTTTAGAACTGAGAACTCGTAGAAAGGATCCTCTTGCTTGTGGCCTCATGCCTGATACTTCTCAGATTTTGGACAAGTTATTATAATTATTTGCACTTCAGTTTTCTTATCTGTGAAATGAGGGGCTTGCCTTGCATTTCGTACCACATTCTTTGAAGCCCTGGGGGTTGCCAGAGGACTTGTTGGGAATTGGGGGTGAGAGAGCATTTGCATAGGTGCCCCTCACCCCTCATTAACAAAAAGCCACTTATGTTTATTTTATGTACTTGGTTTCTGTGATAGATTGGATTATTTGTCAGCAAACAATCACTCACTTGGAGCAGACCAGTCTCCTGTTCTAGTGACTTTAGGCTTGACCGTATGACTTACTTTGGCCAATGGGATATGAGCAGATGTGATGTAAGCAGAGGCTTTAAATGTGCTTGCACGGTTTGCTTGCTTCTTGTTTTCTTCCATTTACTGTGCAAATGTGCCCCAGGGAGCCCCTGGTCCAAGGAGAATGAGAGATGTGGAATAGTCCTAAACCCCACCTGTAGCCTGAAGCAGACCTGCCCCAGCTGAATCAAGCCTAGATCAGCTCATAGACAACCTGCAGATCTGTTAGCTTGAGAACAAATGTTGTGATAAACCATTCTACTTCAGGGTGGGTTGTTACACAGCATTATTGCTGTCTCATACTGCTTACAAATAAGTTTTGTCTATCATCAGATCCTTTGGTTTAAAAAAATTTTGAAAAGCACTGGATTTGCTGATTTTTCAGCTCTCCCATCCAGTTCTACTATCTTATGCTTCTTTCTCCATAGATATATAAGAGAGGGAGAAAGAAAGGGTTTTGGAAACAGTAAAATCTCCTGGAAAGAAAAGATAAGAGAAGCTATAGGTTTTTGTGTTTAAGGGAAGAGGAGGTCGTTAGGGAACTGGGAAGAGAGATTGGTGCCTCCATAGTTAAAGTATGTTTTGTTTCTTTTTTGAATCCTCACGTAAACATTTCTCCACTGACATCATCTTGCACTGTTACTTATTTTGTTCATTTTTGTGTTCCATTTGTACAACCTCTGAAATTCCAGGAAGAAGGTGAAAGAATAACATTGCACATAGCCTTGGATTGTGCTGTGTTTATTCTGTGATGGACCATTCACTTGGGCTTAACCTCAAACTGACCTTTCTGATTCCAGACAAGACAGAAAAGCTTTGCTAACAGATTCAAAATCGAGGAACAGAAACAACTTACTTTCCTGGCCAAGGATGTTTTTTGTTTTCATTATTTGTGTCCATGGTCACAAACGAAGTGCTAGGGAGGTAGTTTTTAGGAATTCCTGGAGTACTTTACTGCTGAAGTGTATGTGTAGATACCCTGGGTTCTTAAACAATTGGCACCCCACCCTGAGGTCTGGATATATTAGTTGCATGATGGAGAGAAGGGGAAGGAGGGGTGAGAAAGGTCTTAGCTATTTACAAGCCCTTTTGCTCCAGTTCTTTGCAACATAGTTTTATTTTATTTTTATAGTTTTGAGAACATCACAAATATAAATATAAAACCATTGTCCAAAGCCAAGAACAAGGAATATTTGGATCCTCTTTGCTCCAATGAATAATTAAAGGGTTACCATATCATGTATGAAGGTAGTCTGTTCAAGAATGAACAACATTGTAGATCAGATCATGAAATAATTGTTTTATTTCTCAGAAAGAGAGACTTTATGGGGTTCCTAAGGCTATCACGAGGCAGGCCAGGCTTTGTCTATGGCAGGGGTCGAGTTTGAGCCTATCTCTGCCATCAGCCGGTGCTCAGGTTGTGTCCCTGCACTGATGGCCATCTGAATTCGAGTATCAAGTAATTCGTCTGCTTGTTTGTACTGGATTGAGCTCCTCTGCGGACAACAGGAGCTGCTTAATATTTTAGAGCCAGAACTTGGCATTGCCTGTGCTTAGGGAATTCTACTGTCATGCTCTGGGTGACCTGAGTCTATGACCCATAGTGCCATGTGTGGAGAAGAGGGCTCTAGGATGCAATTTATTTTAGGTTGACTAATGAGCATCTAGCAGACATGGGCCAACAGTTGTATTTATTGAGTGCCAGGAGATTTTTGAATAGAAGCCCTTTTCTGGCAACCTCTAAAAAGAATAAAAGAATATATACTTACCTAGCTGATAGAAGGGGACAATGAAATTTAAAAAGACAAAATTTATCTGGATGAAGGCAAGAGAAAAAGAGAAAAGGAACACATAACAGTCTGGGCAACAGTAAGGTGGAATACTTAAATCCAAATGAGTCATTTATTACATTAAATGTTAATGAATTAAATATTACAATTGATGAGTAAAGGTTGCCAGACTGAAGAAAAAAACAAAACCCAAGTATGTACATCTTACATGTGACATACTTAAAATAAAGGTACACAAACCCTTTGTCTGTGTCTATAAATGGTCACAGACATTTCCAAAAACAACATGGCAGGATGTACCGAGAGTCATAAGCTTGTCCATACTCTTTGATATAATTTTAATTGTTAAGACCTCAGAGTGTAGACTGGGATAGACCTTAGTTCATGTCCCATCTTTGCCCTGTATAAGATGTGTAATGTTGGGCAAATGACTAAGTTCTTTGTTTCTTCATCTCTAAAATGGGGATAATTAGCACTTTCTTGTAGGGATGTCATGAGGAGTCAATGATATAATGGGTGTAAAGTGCTTAGCATAGAGCCTGGCTTGTAATATCTGCTCAATGCTGCTGTTTTCATTAACCTAATCCTGGGAATCTATATGGAGGAAATTACTAAACCAAAGAGAAGTGTTACATGAATAAAGATGCTTATTGCATCTTGTCTATAGCAATAAGAAATCAGAAACAATCTAAACGTCTCATTCATTCATTTATTCAACTCAAATATTTATTGAGATCTTATTATGTGCCAGGTACTGTATCCCACTTTTTGAGATACATCAGTGAAGGAGATAAAGATCCCTGCTTTTGTGATGGGGAATGTGTAGCTAAACTATGGGGCAATAATTCAGTGGAATGTTATGCAGCTATTAAAACAACAGCAATGAAGATGTGAAAAGTTGTTGCTAATATGTAAAATCAAAAAGCAGAAGAGGAAAACATAGGTGCCTTAAAATATATGAGTGGGTGGACAGAGACTAGAAAAGAGCATTTGAAAATGAAAGTGGTTGTTAGACTGATGGGATCATGTTGTTTGTTTTTCAATAATTTATGAAATGGTTTTACAATATTATGAAATAAAAACATATATATGTGTAAGTACTTGAGAAAAGTGAATTGGCACAAAGAAAAGCTTCTTGTGGTTTAGGAATCAAAGTGAAGCCTGTAGGCAGAAGAGGAAATTGCCTATGTAACAGGGGAGGAAAACTTGCTATTTCAAAATAGAGATGACTGTTTCAGCTGCCCTGTGCGCTGGGAGCTGTGGGATTCATGCCAGGGGAAGGGGGTTCTTTGCTGAGGAAACCTTATTGAGCAGATGAGTAATCGAGGGCCTTGGAAAGGAGAGAGTTCAGACTTAAACATGTCTGTGTAATAAATTAACAGAAGTTTTCCATTTTCCCTTGGCATTTGGGGGTAGAGGGGAGAAACAGAGACTTGGAGGCTGGAGAAGATGAGAAAGGAAAGATCCAGCCGGAGGGGTGAGAGCAGTAAGGATACAATAGCAGCTTAAAGAGCACTGATAACTAATATTTTAAGCTATTTCCTGTTCTGTTTTTCCCAGACTTCAGTAAAAATATGATTATGCACAGTAGTGACTCTTCAACATTTGGGGAAAGCAGTGGGGAAGAGGTAGTGTCCATGGAAGGAGGTGAATATGTGCACAGAGATGACCATCAGTGCTGGGGACAAGATGGTGAGCTCAGACCTGCAAGTCCCTGCAAGGAAGAATTTAAGTGGGATGAGGCCAAGAGACCCTAAGTCTCTCCACTCCTGCCCTCCCTTAGGAGTCTCAAGTCACTGTTCTCCCATGGGATAGGGGCACAGGCCATTTTGTTTGGATATTAAAAAAAGGCTGGTGTCATAGGACATTCAGGAGTCACATACACAGGGGGATCTGAGAGGTCCTGGCCAAAGGGTACCTTTTCCATATTGACCCTTCCTGGGGCCTTGGCTTGCTTCATTACCACCCTTAGCAATACGATCTTTTGCAAACAGACACCACTCTATCTAGTCCTGCTTTTTTTAGGTGCAGCAAGGTCTGGGAGAAGTCTTGCCCTTCCATGAAGGCCTTAGGAGAACGATTTTGATTTTGATAGGTCATGGAATAATCATGGAATGATCGTTTTTCTTTCTGAGAAATAAAACAATAGCAATGAAGACATGGAAGCTAAGTTTACGAACTTAGACGAGAGGCTGGGCAGGTTTTGGTTGGTGGTGGGTGGATAGAGAAGGAAATAATGAGCAGATGTAAGAGAGATGCAGGGCACTGAGGACGGTGGGGAGGGGTAGTGGGAGGAGCCTTCTGTAGTCTTTTAAAGACAACTAGGGAGTTGTTTCTAGACTCTGATTCCTATACTCAGGAGACCTTGCAGCAATAGCCTTTTAGGAATGGTGCTTAACTTAAGGCTTCTAGACTAGCAACCATGTATGGGTTTGATATACCAAGGTGGGGGTGGGTGGGACTTGTCTGTCCTAGGTTCAGGCCATTGGAGAGGTGGTGATGCATTGTCTACAGAGAATTAAAAAACAGTAATAAAAAAAACCTAAAACAAACTGCTTTTTATTATCACCATGTGCCAACAATTCTGAGCACACTCAGTGATAAACTCCCCCTCCCCTCTGGGGCAGAGAGTTCAGGCTGTCCCTAACCCCTGGTCTGGCACAGCCCTGGGATGGAGAACTGCCAATGTGGGGAATCCACAAGGAGCAGGTGCAGAAGAAAACCCAAATTCCTTAAGCTGGTAAATAAGAGGTTTCTCAGGACTGAACTTGAAAAACATGAGCCTGGCCAAGGGTGGGACAAGAAAATCCTCAGAAGATGGCAGCTGAGCAGGGGTTAAGCAAACCCTGGTGCCAAGCCGGTGGCAGCTTGGTAAATAGACAGCTCACATCCTCAGCAAACACTCAAGATTCATGTCTTTTCAGAGAAAAGAAAAGACTTAATTTCAGCTGCGGTGGGGAGAGGGGGCTAACGTTTCTTTTGTGAGATATCACAGCCCCAGCAAGATCTTGAGACAATGTTCTAAGAAAAGTTGGAAAAGGTACACTTGGCCACCCTACGGACCCTGGGGCACTTCACAGGCTGTTGGATGGGAGGAAGACCAGATCCTTCTAAATCCTAGTGTAGGGGCCGGCCCGGTGGCGCACTGGATAGTGCGCCGCTTGGGAAGCGCGGCGGCGCTCCCGCCCGAGGGTTCGGATCCCACATACAGACCGGTTCCCGCTCACTGGCTGAGCGAGGCGCGGGAGCAACACCGAGGGTTGCGATCCTGTTGCCGGTCCCCGGTCCAGTACGGGGGCAACACTGAGGGTTGCGATCCGTTGCCGGACACGGAAAAAGACAAAAAAAAAAAAAAAATCCTAGTGTATAGGGGACCTAGTATAGGGACCGAGGCCACTGAAGTTCAGACTAGTAGTTTCCAGAGTGTGTTCCTTGTACCGGTGGCATCAGCATCACCTGGGAACTTGTTAGAAATACAGATTCTCAGGCCCCACCCCAGACCCACTGAATCAGAAACTCTGGGGTGGGACCCAGCAATCTCTGTTTTAACACACCTTCCTGCTGACTCTGATGCCCGTTCAAGTTTGAGAACCTCTGGCTCACAGTGGACTCGGATTTGGCTCCCTCTGAGAGGTGGCCGCACCTAGCCTCTCCCCCACTTCAGGCACCTGGGGTCTGTGGGCCTGCAAAAGTGAACGATCTGACAGCCCCAGTGCAGAAGACACCCACTGTCCCCCCTTTTTTTTTGCTGTTTCTGACAGGGATTTGGTTCCTGACTGGAAGACTGGGGAATGTGCCGTAGGGAACGCTAGAGAGATGGGCAGGAGCCAGGTGCTGAGGGGCACTGTACACCTCCCTTTATAAAAGCGTTTGCCAGCATTATTCTGTACTTTGAGTGGTTTGAATTTTACCCTGAGGGGCCTTCACATGTAGGGCCACCCCAGTGCTTCTCAGAATGGGGAGACACTTCATCTGTTGATTTAAACTCTTGCGATGCTAGGGTGGAACGGCACAGTCACATTTATGAGAGCCTTCTTAGAATCTTCCATGAAGATATTTCAGTATTTGCAAACTTGTCACCACTAATGGTATTGCCCCTACTGAAGGCCAAGGGACACTGTGGAGGGTGAAAGCAGCCCATTGTCTACGCTGAGGGTGGGTATGAAGGGTGGGGAGTCATGGCCAGGTTGATCATGTTTAAGAGCAAACCGTCTGGCAGGAGGCATGTGGGAGTAATCCCAGGTCACTGGGTTTAAATGCAGTTGGGAGAGGCCTGTTTATTGGCCACGTTGGCATTTACTCATTCATCACGTCCCACTGATTGCTTCCCATGTGTCAGACTCTGGTTACTATGACAGGGGGGTCCTGTCCTCAGCTTGCTCACAGTCCAAAGTAGCCTCAGGACAGAGCTGTAAAGATGTCTGCACTTCTGTGCACAAGAATGACCAGAGAGGAGAGTTTCTGGCCTTATGGAGTGTGGCCCCCCAAAGATGTTTTAAGTCCTGGAACCTGTGAATATGTTACCTCTCATGACAAAAGGGGGACTTTGCAGTTGGAATTAAGTTAAGGACACTGAGATGAGGAGATTATCTTGTATTATCTGGGTGGGCCCAATTGAATTACAGTGGAAATGGGAGGCAGAGAGAGTCAGAGGGAGATGTGACTGTGGACGAAGAGCACTGCCTTGTCAGGGTCCAACCCGCAGTGGCTGACTTTGAAGATGGAGGAAGGGGCCAAGAGCCCAGAACTGCAGGTGGCCTCTAGAACCTGGAAAAGGCAGGGAAACCGATTCTCTGCTAGAGCCTTCAGTAAATTAATGCAACTCTGTCGACACTTTGGTTTCAGCCCAGTGAGACCCATGTCAGACTTGTGTTGTTTTAAGCCACTAAACTTGTGGCAATTTGTGACAGCAGCCATAGGAAACTAATAAATGAGGCTCTGAGCCTGTAGTCAGGCCAAGACTATCCACTTTCCCCCAACTCCAAGAAGGGTCCTGCAGTCTCTGTACCTGAGGTTATGGGTTGGGATGTGGGGCTGACTTTCTCTGAGAGAATGGCTGCACTGAATCTCTGAGGGTCCTAGGCTGGGTGTAGCGGGAAGATGAGATTCAGGGGCAGGAGTGCTCATAGCCACTTATGAAGATGCTCTCAGTGTGCTGCAGAAAGCCCGAGCACCACTATAGGGGGCAGCACGGAGAGACACGACCTTGGCCAAGCTTGCAGGTCTGACCTGGTAACAATGCAGGCAGGAGGGGCTTAGCCTCTTGTTTGGACTTGTCCTAACTGTTGCCTCTTGCCTGGGTCCTGGACATCCCTTGCTGTCATAGAGACAGCACAGGATTTAGACTTGGTTCTATCTCAGCCAGATCACTTACAGGTTGTGCAACTGTGGGCAAATTACTTAACTTCTCCAAACCTTAGTTTCCTCATTTATAAATATGCACTTTGCTGTGTTGTTATAAGGAGGGCTGTTACAAAGTATAAATGAGACCGTGTAAAGCACCTGGCACATACTGGGACAGAGACTCTTTCTGAAAAAGGACAGTTGTAGGGTCCTTTCCAGACTAGTGAAGGGTTGTAGAACCAAATGTGAATAGCTTTCTGCTGGCTCAAATGGGAGCCTGGCTAGTCAGACATTTGGGGCTGCTGGGTGTGTGACCCAGCAGGCGATCCACTGCCCAGACCCTTTGAAATAAGATATGCAGCTGATCCCTTTATTCAGGTTGTAGGGAAGGGGCATGTGGTAGGAAATTGCACAGCCCAAGGCATTGCCGGGTCTCGGTTCTCTGGGCCTTGGTTGTGGCTTTAGCTGGCAAGACGATGAGAATAGCTTGGTGAGTCTCGGAGGACACATCCATTTCCCCTGCCGGTGAGTCTGCAGGAGGACAGGCATCTTTTAGGGCACTGCCTAGGCCTGTCCATGCTGGATCTATTTTCCTGACATTAACATCCTTCTATAGCCAATGTGCTTCTACAGGTTGGGAGGCAGAAGGCTGAAGTCCAGCCCTGACCCTAGGCTGCTCTTTTATACGTGTCCCCCTAGAGTGAACTCATGGTGGCAGGAGCCCTCTCTCCCCCACACTCAAGTGAAATGAGAGCTACTGGGGAAGGCAGCTCTGAAAGCTCTTTGCCACCACCCCCTTCCTCCCCAAGCCCATGGCCTCAGGCTGCTCAAAGCCCCTGGACCCTCACTCAGCAGACCCCTCCCTGATGTGCTCCTGGGTAAGCAAGAATTTACAACAGACCCTTGACATCTCAGAGGACTATACTCCAGGTTTTTCTGACTCCCCAGTCTGGGAATAAAGTGGAAATAAGAGAATGTTGGTGCAAGTTCTTGGTTTTCTCTTAAATTAGCATTACCACTGTGAGTCGAATGTTTCTGTGCTTTTCCTCCCGTTGCTTATTAACTACAGTTAACTACCTTTCCAACTTTCCCTGAAGTTTTATCTCTCACTCGATGGCTATTTTTTACATAGAAACACATTTTAAAAAGTCATTTCCAGAGTTACCTCGTGCGTGCCTTCAGTGAGTGCAGAACATGGGAACTGGGTCCCGCCGTGGACGCCGGTCAGTTGGGCGCCTTTTACCATGTCTCAGATGCACCAGCCTCGTGGGCACTTTCACAAAATTCCAAATTACTGCATTCCCTAGACCTTCAGAATTTCTTCAAAATGGGAGTTTGAAACTGGGACTGCTAAGTGCCAAGGGCCTGCTGTTCCTCTCTACCCTATTTAAATACTTCCTTCTCTGTGACCCAC